GAGTCACAGAGACCTGCGGTGCTGCGACAGAGCTGTGTGACCTCGAGCAAACTCCTTAACCTCACTGTCTCACTTGCCCTGTCTTCATCAGATTCCATGGAGGGAGACTGGGCACAGTTAAATCTATGTGCTCGGCAAACATTTACTGAGAACCAGCTATGCGCCAGGGGCCTGTGGCCAAAGCGGTGAACCACTGTGTCCGAGCTTACAGTCTAGGGGTGGCGAGGAGGGAAAGCACCACATGGACAGCACCGTAAGCAGAGCTGTGAGGCTGGCTGGCTGGAACGGTACTGGGGGCTGCTGGACAAGAGGACAGGCCAAGCTACCCTGGCTCAGGGTCGGGAGTGGGCCAGCGGAGCTCTGCTCACGCTGGGCCAGGCTCTGCTCAGGAAACTAACCCTTACAGTTGCCTCCTGAGAGTGTATGTTGTTTGGAGGTCTATGCTTGTTTTCTAGATGAGGAAACTGAGGCCCAGAGAGGGTAAGTGACTTGCCCAAGGTCACACAGCTAGGAAGCAATGGAACTAGGGTATGAACCCAGGCTGCACGCCCTTACTCTCCCTGCACTGTAGACGTCAGCTACACCATCACCGTCACCTAAAGATGATGCCTCTGTGCTGTGGATCTTTTGCAAATCGAGGCCAGCCTTGAGAGGCAGGAGGACTGAATGCTGATACATTACTCGGGGGCACTTGTAAGTGAAGTCAGAGGAGGGGGACAGAGCCAGGGAGGGGCTGTCTAGTCCCCACATCCGCTGTGAGTCTCAGGCAGGAATCATAAACTCTGTGTCTACCGGGCTGCTGGGTAAGGAAGAGAGAAGTGGGCCGGGTGGGAAGTCCAAGGGCAAGTGCCCTGTCCAAAGTGAGTGGCTGCTTCAAGGCCACACAGGAACCCAGGCCTGATGGAATCAGATCTTTTGATTTTATTTTTTTGAGGGTCACAAGTGAACCCCCGTGCTTGGTAAATATGGGATACCAATGCACCCCATGTCCGGGGCCACAACCACCTGCTGCTTTGCAACCTTTGGTCTAAGATAGGGGAGGTGGTGAGCAGGGAGGCACTAAATCAGTGGCAGCGCCTGCTTCTCAGGTGA